GCTTGTGTCCCAAGCAGGCCCTTCCTATTTCCCCAACTTTCCCAGATGTCATGGCTAGCTTTCCTCATGACAGTTACCCTGCGTGGCCCTGGGCCACCTCGACAATAACAGGGAAGCCCTGCCTTCTGAGGGCCCAGAGCTCTCCTCTTGGCAGTGGGCTCTCAGTCAGTCTCAAGGCGGGTCCACCTGGCTTCCTCAAACCCTGTCAAGTGGCCACCAAGGCCTGTGGCCACCCACCCCCCAACACGCCATCTCCTCTGGCTGACTGCCCCTCAGAAGGCTCACCTGCGGGGCCCCTTCACCCAGCTGGGCATCTCTGCACAGAGACGAACTCGGACTTCACTGTCCCAGGCTAACTTCAGGGACTGAGAGTGGAAATCCCAGTGGTCAAATCCTCTACATGAGAACATCCAGCCCGAGTCAGGGTCTGGGTTCCCGCCCACCGAAGCCTGTCAGTTCAGGTACCTGCACATCCCACTGTCGTCCCGGAAACACCACACACCTCTACTAGCTGGAATGGCTTCGAAGTGGGGCTCCTCAAATACAACATCAGTCTTCGGCCACGGGCCGCCATTCACACAGCATCTTAGAAACAAGCCCTAACTGGTGTCCAAAATGCTCCCTTCCCTGGTGTCCAAATGGCAGGTGGCACCTCCTGCACACACTGTTCACCATCACTTGCATTGTAGAGTGGTCAAAGAAAGTTCCTGCTCTGAGCAGCAAACTCAGATGCCAGTCAGGGCCTACTCCTCTCCTTTCTGGAACAAGGACAAACTTTTAAAAGATCTGCTCCTTCCCGACAAGGGGGGATTTGGCGTCGCATCTGATGTCTTCCCATGTGCATTCTGCCACCAGGCTAGAAAATGCTGTGATCCAGCACAACTCCCGAGCACTAGAAGAAGAGCTCTGACAATGGCCTTTCAGCCCCTCTCCCCACCCGTCCCCAGCCATGGACTACCCTTTTTACTTGGGGCCAGGTGCTCCTTCCCTCCTTCTCCCCTGCCCCCAGCACTGCCCACAGCTCCTCATGCCCTCCACCCCAAAAATTCTAGGTCCTCTGATTTCTTTCCAGACAAAGTTCATGGCTAACAATTTGTGCTCTGGGTTTTAACAAGCTAGAAGAAAGAGAGATGCTTTCATTTTGTCCCGGAGAAAACGGCTCTTCGCATGACTTGGTCTAATGACTCTGAATGGAGAAAAAGAGAAAAGACAAAAGAAGCCGTGTCTGATTTTCCTTTAACTAGAAATCACTCCAAAGATTATGAAGTTAGGTTCAGAGAGGGGCAACAAAAATTGTCAAGGGACTGAAGCCCAGTTTTCTTCCCAGTATGACAAGGAAATCTGAGAGGGGTGAGCGTCTGTGCTGTTAGGACTCCATTCTGCGGCTTTCCTCTAGTCAAGCCCTGGTACAAAATGACCCATGGGACGACATCACAGGGTGTCGGCCTCTCCTCTGCCACCTGCTATGATGGGGGCTGATCTCAGACTGATCTGCAAACGTATAGATAATAGCATCCACAACACTCTGCTGGGGTAATTAAAGGCGATAATAAATGTGAAAGTGCCTATCAAGGTGCCCACAGCATAGCCGAGACGAAATAAATACTAGTTTCCTTATTTCCTTTATTTTAATTCGTGTATGACACATTCATTCATTTGCCAAGAATGCCATTTCACAGGCAGAGGCTTCCAAAGACCTGATGATCTAATCTCCCTGTAATCACGGTTCCTCCTCTGTTCAGCCAAACCCTGCCTCCCTACGAGTCCACCAGCTCATCCTCCCTCTCGACCCTCCACTCACAGGACTGCACATTTAAGATCTGACTCTGTGGGATCTCCTCATGGTTTGCACTCCACGACTTTTCTCCCACTCTTCAGTCCCACATCCAGAAACGCCTGAGAGATGGCACAGAATGACTTGCCTCAGTAACGGCCCCTACATGAATCCTGCACACAAGGCTTATATTTATCTTATCTACCAAGTAAGTGCATAACATGCACAAGCATTAAGAATCACAATAACCTGATGGATAGAACACTGGACTTGCAGTCAAAAGGCCTAAGTTCACATTCTTGATTGGACACTAAATAGCTGTATGACAAGTCATTTATCCTCATCAGCCTCAGTTTACTCAGCGAGGAAAGCGAGATGGCTGGTCACGCTGTGGGTCACGCAGATGTTCTCTCAACACTCAGTAGAGGAAGGAAATGCTGCAGTATGCACTCCTCCTCAGAAAGGACAGACACGGATGGGTGTCAGAAAAAAAATGCAGTGTCCTCAGCAGGCAATGAGGATAACCAGAGAGAGAACCAGAGCATGAGAAGCACAACAGACACAAGGACAGTCACTCTCTCCTGCATCCTCCACCTCTCCAAGCCCTACTCTTGGCTTCCCTAGGATCTGTCTTCCTCCAAGGACAAGTCTTTCACAGCCGGGCTGGGGATTCCTCCCGCTCTGAGGTCAAGCAGGAGTCAGGTGGGGGTAGGAGCGGGAGAGGAAGCACAAGAGGCATCGGTCAGCTTAGCTCGAAGGCACAGTGAGAACGGCTCTTGCTTATGAAAACTGTCGCTTCTTTCCACTGTTGAAGCAGCAAGAGCAAAAGGTACAAAATTCCTGTTCAGGCCCAGGAGAAGTAAAGCCGAAACTGCAAATCTCAAGTCACCATCAGACAAGGCGAAAAAAATGCCTGAAGGTCCCATGGGTCTAGTCTAGCCAACTGAAGGAAGAAAAAAGACAGAGACTGGGCCCTGGAGAGTGGACAGAAGTGGGAAGGGGGTGATTAGCAGGACTGTCCTCAGTGGCACTGCCAGCAGAAGCAGCCATGGTAGTTGGCACGTCAAAATGTCAGGGATTTGGGATTCTGGCTATATAAAGCGCCAAGTTACGTGTAAAATCATGGAATATAAAACTGACCAACTTAGCTATTTTTAAGCTACATGTTGCTCAATCATGTTAAGTATGCACACATTATAAAACAGATCTCCAGAGCTTTCCCGTCCTGTAAAACCAAAACTCTGTCCCCCTTCAACAACTCCCCTCCTCCTCTTCCCCAGCCTCTGGTAACCACCATTCTACTTTCCTGTCTTTAAGAATTTGACTCATCTAGGGACTCGGATTCTGGCTATCTTTATACCTGGGTCACAATTCTTAATTCATATTGTTTGGCAAACTGAAGTCAGCAGGGGAAGCAGATCTGTGGAGCAGGCTCACTCAGGACACACAGAGTGCAGGAGTAGCTGACTTCTTAGAGCCAAAGCGCCAACAGAGATGACAACAATTCATGACCTGCCAGGAATTGGTAATCAGAACTAAGGTTCCCATGGATGGATACGAGTTCACTGCTGTCCCACTCTCAGAAATGGTCAGGGAATGGTTACCATCAATGATGCAGACTGCCACCATTTAGGCTGTGACCTCGCAGGATCAGCATTGGTGGCTGATCCAGGGTTATTCTGAAGATGTATGCTGTTAGTGGCTGACAGTCAATCTGGCCACTGATATCAGCAAGCACCCCTAACTGCTAGGCACCCTAGATGGAAACGTGCACAAGGACTGACCGAGAAATGCAAAACGCATGAACACCTTACCATCAGTGGCGCCTGTGAAGCCAACTCCCAATTCAGCATCCACAAGCAAGGCTACAGCATGTGGAGAACTCTTGCCTACCGAGTGGCAACTCTGAGCTGAGATCAAAGTACATACTGGCATGAACAGGAATTCATACAATAGCCCTGAATCTCTGGTCTTACCACCCATAACAAAGAAGGCCAGCAGAGGGTACCCAAGTCAGCACAGGAGACGACGGAGCCAGAATGACAGAGAGACCACTTGCCATTATGCCAAGACTCACTTGCCTACAGCTTCCAAATAGGGCAGTCTCCCGGAAACCAATCCAGCATGCAGGAAAAAAAAAAAAGGAGAGCTGCTCGGGTAGTAGGGCCTAACCTCACCATGCTGGTCACACAAGCCAGGAAAGAAGAGAGACACCATACATCCATGGAGGCTGGGCCTTCCAACTTGGCACAGCAACTAGACCTGCTAGGACAGAGGCCACTGAAGTGCCCTTTGCCTCACCTAGCCAACTCCCTTGCTGTGGGAGGAGTAAAGTCAGGCAAGGGGGAGCCCAGAACCTGAGAAACCAACCTCCGACAGGGGAGAAAGGTGGGAAGCTGCACGCGTCCCCAAAAGACAACAGTAATGGAGACAAGGATTTCCTTTCTCTCATTTCCCAACTATGCAAGGAAATAACGTTCAATTTCATAATGTCTGTGAATAACAGGGATCCAGACTGCCTATTTAACTGAGTATTCTGGATTTTAGCAACGGCCAAATAAAGATGAACAAATACCTATCCTATACAAGCTATACATTGTCTTCCTGACTTGAGCCAAAGAAGGGGGGGAAAATAATTTTTAAAATGATCACAAATCCAAAGGCTCAAAAGAAAACAAAGGAAAAAAATATTTGTGCTAGGCACACAATGGCACTCAGAATCAATTTTGCACAGATTGATATAAAACCATAATCCCCAGGTAAGAAGATTTCCAGGAACTCACATTTAAGGAAATGGCTGTTGTTCAGGTTTTGGGGAAAAAAAATCACTAGAAACTTAAAAAGTGACAAACTCAATTTTTAAAAAAAGTTCTACTATCTCACTGAAGACAAGAGAGTGGAAAAGAAAAACAAAGGATGGTTCTAGATTTAGACCCATGTAGGGCCTCCAAGGGGGCAGAGGAAACAGGCCGGGCAGAGCCAAGTGTGAATAGCCACAGTTGACATGAAAAGAAGTGCACAAAGCTCCTATGGAACAAAAGGAGCTGGGACACAAGTGCTTCCGCCCTCTTCAAAGTGGAAAGGCACGTGGTTACCGAAGGGCATGAGGCAGAGGTGTGTCCTCCTCACGGAACCCCAAGGGCACACACTAGAAAAACCACCAGAGGTAGCTTCACTGTCAACTACTCAAGGGTGACTGTCCCATCTAGAACAAGGGGAAACTTACCACAGTGACAGGAGTCAAAATTCCCAAGACATTCCAGAAGAAGAGGCCAAGGCAGGGCCCACAGCAGCTGAAGGGCGACAAAAGTCTTGGGATCCTGCTGGCTGGGAGAAACGCAGAGAGAAATGTAGGTTATGTTACGGAGAATCCAGGACCATAAAGTGTTCTGAAACTAGTTGTTGTAAATGTGGGGGCTTGGCTCATGAGACAGGACAGATTCACTTACATCTGGGATTTATACAAATACACGGATTCAAGGCATGGAGGGCCAAAAGGTAGAGAACCCGAGAAACCATGGAAGGAAAATTCAGGCAGTCTGCACAACTTCCCTCCAAGACATAGGACTCCTAATGTCATAATCAGCCTCCCAGTAGGAACTTCATCCACACAAAGTTTCAGGTATTGGGTATCTAACTCAGATTGGCTAGAATACCAGGGAGTCAAGACTCAGCAGTGCTTTGTCACTGATTTTCTCATCACGGGGAGTGCTGAAGGAACACCAGCTGCAGCCAGGCCATCTTGCCATGTACCCTTCACCTCAGAGGCTAAGAATGAAATCAGTGAAGATGACAGAAGTCCCTGGCTTTATAAGGTCATTTTATAACACAATTTAAGGATTAAATCAACTAATCCAAGAGAAGTACTTAAAACAATGCCTGGAAAATTCTAAGGGCACAACAAAGATTAGCTATCATCACCATGTTATGTATTCCATCTGCTACCTCCTGCCTCTGCTATATTCTGTAATTGCTCAGGCACAGATTCCAAGATCTATCTTTATTTTTTTTAAGTGAGAAAGCAGGATTTATTGAGAGGACAGAAAACCTCCCACAGTCGGAGGGAACCCCAAGGGGTTGCCCCAAGATCTATCTTTAAGTTTAGGGAACTTAGCTTCCCCTTGGGAGGTATGATGATGTATTAAGGGACTTCGCTATTAAACTGCTGCCATATTTGCATTTGATGGGACATTCACATGTTTTTCCAAATGCTGTGAATCTAGGGACAGTGCTAAATTAAGGTATGTCTATGTAGCTCCTTAGAATTTTAGGGGACAGGAAAACGTGAAAGGTACGAGGTTAGAATGATCCAGCTTTCTAACAGCTGTCTGAGTTGCTGATATCATTTTCAGAAGAAATCGCTCACACAAGAAGTGAGTCCTACAAACTATGCTGAGTGGTTCTGCACCATCGGAGACTGAATCAAATAGGAAGAAGATGGAAAAGTGAAAATGCTCTCGCTCTCTCTAGAGACTTCAGTTTCCCTGTGGGAATAAAGGGTTGACTCAGAATGGAGGCTACGAGTAGGACACACTTCAAAGAGCGGGAAATCATGGGAAGGAATTTCAGATGGTTTTGATCCTGGGCCAGGTTGCCCTCCCTTACTAGACTATACATGCCAGGCACACGGTGCCTGCTAGCCTGCAAATCCCACGATGGGAATGCCTTCAGCTTTAAGGATGGCCAGGCCATCATGGCCACATGACTTCTTATGAGACCAGTTGCAGACTCAAGAGCTTAACTGTGACCTGTGACGTAGCCTGGAACAGCAATAAACTCAATAACAAAATGAGATTCCCTCTCTCTCAGGGGTCTAAGCAAGACTGAATGAGGTGATCAGCTATGAGAGATGAAGCCGAGAGGTTATAACGTGCAGAAACTGCAGAGGTCATGAGAGATCATGGCCAACCAAAGCCATGAGGCAGCAGAATCTACAGGTAGAAGACAAAAGGCAGAAAAAAGACATGCAGAGGAGGGAAGAATGCCAAACGGCAGCAAAAAGAGAGAGACGCAGACCAGAGACGCCATGAGATACCCCCCCACCCCCCACACCGTCCTGGGAAGGATGCTGGCTTGTCTCTGAACCGCCTTAGTTCCTGATAGTCTAGTCCACACGTATCCTTACAACACAGACCCTTTTACATAAAAAAAGGTCTGAGTGTATCTCTGTTCCTTAAAACAAAAACACCTCTAACTAAAACTTGTACTTCAACTACCCCTTAGGATGACATTTTCCCAAGAGGCTCCTCAATGCTGCAGAGTCCTGGCAAATCCATCCCTGAGCAGACCTGCCTAGACACACCTAACATCTGCTTCTCAGCAGCGCAAGGACATCTGACACCTAGGCATATAGGGTCAGTCCCAAGAGCTTATGACCATATCGCAAGGGCCTACAAAATGTTTGAGACCTAAAACTGGATACAAAATATGAAAAGAAAATTGTGAAATCAAAGTTAATAAATGTTGGATGTCTATACCTAATCTTTGCATAAGCTAATTTTATGTGGGACATGATTGGTTGTTTTAGAATCAGGATCTCACTCAATTGCCACGGATGGAGTGCTGGAGTACAGTGCACGACCATGGCTCACTGCAGCCTCAACCTTCTGGGCTCAAGCAATCCTTCCACCTCAGACTCCTCAGACACAGGCAGGCGCCACCATACCTAGTTAATTTTTTGATTTTTTGTAGAGACCAGGTCTTGCTATGTTGCCCAGGCTGGTCTCAAACTCCTCGAATCAGGTGATCCTCCCACTTTGGCCTCCCAAATTGTTGGCAATACAGGCATGAGCCACCACGCCCAGCCAGTGAGTGATTTTTTCATGTTTCACATGACATGGCGAAGGCCTCCAAAAGCTACAAGAGCTCAAGGCTTTCAAAGGTCTTCACATCAGTTCCACAGCAGTGGATGTATGTGGGCCTAAGCTGGAACCTGCACCTCCCCTTGGGTAAGTGCACACTGAAATAGTATGCCTGACCACTCCACACTTGGCAGGCTCAGTGAGACATCAAGTCTAGCCTCCTACATGTAAACATCCTATTGTTTTACACTTCCAATATTAGGAGCCCATTATCTTTTCTTAATGAAATATTTTAAATGAGTAAAGCCAAGTAACTTCTGTTCGCCATCCTATTGGTTTTACCAAAAAGAAAAAAATGTCATTCGTGACAGCAAATGGTCTCATACATTTGAAAGATTTAACTTTTGACATCTGTCAAAATAATAAATCAAAACTTGGTCACACTGACTCCTTCCAAGAACCCCCTCCCAAATGTCATGAATAGACCTCAACACTTCATTCTCTTCCATCTAGTCAGGTTCTCAATCTGAGAAAAACAGGAGGTGACGCAAAAGTTACATAAAACTTAGATGTTATACCCTGAGAGGATGGTGTTAAAACAAAAAGGGAAATAGGATTCTTCTTGCAGTCACTGTTGACTGTGGCTCTAATTCCATGCACAGGTAAGTTCCCTCAGTTCTCGAAAGCCATCGCCCGACCCACCTAGCTAAGATCAGCACACCTTTCTCACACCTCCCGCTGAACACCCCAAGCACCCACACCTTCTGGGTATGCCTCCTGCACACGCTTTCGCTACACGTCCTACCTCACTCATGCAAAGCTGCCCTCGAAGCTGTGATCTCCCTTGTGAGATCTCAAGGCCACACCTCACAGGTACCCCGTATGGCATGTCCCGCTCCACGTTTTAGCTCAGCGACCCACTTGGCTTGAATGGTGACCACTGTCACGATAACCCACTCATCACCAGGCTTGTCTTCTTACCTGTACCTCCAGCTACCTACTAGAATATTTCTCCATCATCCCACGACGAACCAAAAAGCACGACTTCACCAAACTCAAAGTCCCTCCAAAAGACAAGTTTTCCCACAACAACTCTTCCAGATGAAGATCCTTAAGCCAGCTCTCCCCCCACAGTCTTTCCCCTTCACTTTCCCTCTGTGCCTGTTGTCGCCCTCTAGCATTTGAGCCCAATGCAGAGGACTTCCCTGCCCTAAGGTCAGTGTGTCCTCCAGGTTTGCTCTGGCTGCCCTATCTGTCCCCACAGCCCCATCCAGGCTTCTTTGAGTCTGACTCCCTGGATTTCTACTGCTCCCTTCCCAGCCATACCTCAATCCACCACCACACCACTCAAGCTCCTCTCAACATCAGCTTCTCCTGACCAGTCCAAGGGCCACTTGTGCTCTGGATCTCACTGGACACCACGGGCCACCCTCCCTTGGCTCCCTCTGGTATACCATGGTCTCTGTTCTGCACCTGCTGTAACAACCCAGCACCCCCAGTCCACTGGGCAAGCCCTTGCTCCTCTATAAATACTAGCACATGCCCATGGGTTCCACCTCCTCTCCTCTGCTCCCAACATACCAACACCAGTTTCAACTATCTCATCCACTGGCTCTCAACTGGCTGTTAAATAAAACCCTTGCTGCCTCCAGAGGGCACTCAAACACCTGCTCAGAAACCTTCATGGCTCTTTACATGAAGGTCTTAGAACCTGAAATGAACTTCACTATGGATTAATACCTCCAACCAGTTGCCAAGCATCATGAAAATGTGTACGACCTGCTTTGTGCAGGTTCCTGGATTCTAACTGTGAGTCTGGGTGCTTTGTATTGTATCTTTACATGATGATAGGTCTGAATCCTATCATCATGTAAAGATACAATACAAAGTTACTGAATATTGGTTAACCAAGAAACCTGGCATGTTTTCTAGTCAATGCCAAGTACCAAGAATCAATGAACAATCTTAAACCCTATTGCGTTCAATACTAAGCATACCTGAAGTATAATTCCAAAAATGAACCAGAGGACATATGGCATTTTCTCTACGGAAGCAAAGCCATCCCAGTTATTTTTATGAATTGTTTTATTGTTATCTTAAGTGGCAGAATTCATAACCTTTGGGCTAGAGATCTGCTCTGGCTACAAGGGCATCCTCACAAGCTCTGTCACAAAACCATGAGCACACTGCCAAGTAAGATGTGGAAATAAGCTATGATTATTTTATGAACTTGCAGGGGTATGAAAAATAAATGAGCTCTAGAATAGCTTTACTGAATTTCTTATATCAGATGACACAAGAGACACTGCAAAATCCAGAATCAGAATAAAGGTGCAGAAATGCTTTAGTGTTAAAAAGCAATACAAATTATGTTTTTAAAAATTAAACTTTGAGCCGGGCTCGGTGGCTCAGCCTGTAATCCCGCACCTTTGGGAGGCTGAGGTGAGTGGACTGCCTGAGCCCGC